GAAGGAGACAGAACTATTCCTAAACATGGAAGAGAACTGTGAAAATAGGAAATGGAAATACAGAGATGGGAAATCTGAAAAATTAAGTTGGAAAAGGGGGAAAGAGAGATAAAACTCCTGAAGGGCTGAATAGCAACTGCAATTTTGAGTCAAGGAGGAAGGAGTTGGACTTCAGAAAGAAAGAACAGGGACCGTTCTTGGAGACCTTTTGAAGGAGCAGGGAAGCAGAAGGCTAATAAGAAAAAAAGTCAACAAATCTGACAAGGGATGTTGATAAGGAATGACAGTATTAAGTGAAGGAGAATGTGTAGTGGAGAAGTTGAAAGTGTAAAGGCAAAGTATAGTCCAAGGTTACAGGTAATAGATGAAATAAATATTTATATGGGGCAAAAGCACAGAGGTGCTCCTTCACCCTGCTGTTGGGTGAGCAAAAGGAATTAGAGGAGCAGATACTGTGTCAGCTTTCATCCTCCTTCCAGCTGAAGCAGGAGTAAAAACAGAGCAAAAGTAAGCCTGGTTCTGGTGCTGTGTGTGGGTGCTGTGATTTGTGTCGGGCTGGCTGATGTGGAGCCTGTGCCCTGCGGGAGGGGACACGTTCACAGGGCAGAGCTGCTGTCCATGGGAGTAACTTCCCTGGAGGGAGGGAGGGAGGGGAGCTGAATCCATTGTGTATGGATAAAAATGGAATTTGTTCTATACACAAGAAGGTGTCCAGAGTTCTACAGTGTGGAATTTCCGTATGAAGTGGTTAAAATCTGTGTGTTTCTACGCTAATTTCTTGTGTGAGCAATTGTAAAACTCAGCGCTGCCACTGTGTAAGATACTGCAAATCACTAAGCTGCTAGCTTTTTATTTGTGAAAATTGTGTAAAATACTGTGCTTTCCCTTTATTTTGTGCGTGTGAAATTGTTCTTCCTGATTCAGTATTGCTTTTCGTTTGAATTTGAAAATGAATTTTTTTATTCATATCACTTACAAATGGATCAGTTTGGGCTAAATCCTTTAGGCCATTCTGAGACAAAGGATATTAGAGTCTGTATTTTTATCTGTTAATTATTAACAGTAGTTGAAAAGAATGAAGTAAATTACACTGTTTTGCAACTAGATTTTCATATCTGACCTGAGTTAGTGGATGCTAAAAGTACATTTTGCATCAGACCTTGTCTGGGCACTTCTTACAGACATGGTTTTGATGGGTCAGAATGAATTTGCTAAGCTTTCACATATCTTATGTGCCTTTGAGGATGGCCCATTAATAATATTAATACATAGGTATTTTCCATTGTTGTATGCAAGGCATTTTTTAGAACTTTGAAGCTAGTCTTTTTTTTAACACATGGACCTTTTCAATTTAATCCATTAGCAACTTGGCAAAATAAAGTAATTGTCCAACAGAGGAAGAAAAAAAAATCTATTAACATTTGCTACAAATCCGAGTAGTACAGGCAGCACTTAATTAATGGAACAGATTTCTCACTATGTGTTCAAGCTAACATAGCTATTGTTCAGCAGAGATTAGACCCTTAATGTAAGTAAGTTAAACTAGACCTCCATCTAAAAATATCCGTCATTTCAGCTATTAAAGCTCTGATGTCTTCTTCGGTGACAGATATATTTCCCTTCATTTCCTTGGTTTTGTAAAATGTAAAGCATGCATTGTGTGTAATGTGAGAAATCCACGGAGGTAGATGAAACCCCGATTGTGCCTGTCTCTCTCTGCCTGCTCCTTTGTGCTGCTCCCTGTCTCAGAGCCTCCTCAGCCCTGAGACCTGCTGGCACCAGAGCAGAAAAACAGAAAATGCCATTTGTCAGGGTATGATGCCAGCCACCTAATCTGTTTGCAGAATGAGGGCCATGGGATCTGATTAGGTAATTTAGATACCATGTGAGTTCAGTAATACCTGAGCTGCCTCTGGCTGTCAGCCTGTCACTTCACTGGTACAAACCCCCACCTTCTGCCATTTTTTCTGTAAACTTCTTACCTGGAATACCTTATTTAGTCCAAATAGGTGTTAAGTGCTGCAGGTGAGGCATACCTTTACTTCTCCTATGTGGAAGTTAGTGATAGGGCGGAGGAGGTGAGATGGCTCAGTTTTAAATGCATTTTCACCAGCAGAATTCCACATGCAGCGAGCATTTTTTCTTGAAAACTGATTTCTTCTGACATGAGATGCTTTGTTTGAACACCACAGATGCTGTGCCAGGTTTCAGTTGTGTTGGGCCATCCAAGCTGATGTCACTGGTGGGTTTGAAGCTCAGTTTATCCACTGTGGTTATTTCACCCTTGTGGCTGAGAATTCCCTGACTTGCTGCTGCAGCCCAGGGTCTCTGGGGGGTGAGAGGCCAAGCACTGCCATGTCCCTGTGGGCAAGGGCTTGCAGAGGCAGCCTGGGTTCTTCAGATGCCCATAAGGGAAAATTTTGGCTGCAATTTTAATGCCACATCTCCTCCCTTCCTCTCTCCTTTCCGCCAATTACCATTTTTTGGAAATTAGCGTCTCGCAAAGCCTGCTAACATAAATAAAAGTGTTTTAGGATTTGTTTGCTTTAATTAAAATGTGTCTTTCTGAAAGGATTTAGTTAAACATCTTTCTTAAACAGTGCTGTGCCAGTAACAGCAACATTTGTAATAGTGATAAGACCCAGAAAGGGAAACCAAGTAGAAAGCAAAATGAAATGTTTCTTTGTCCAAAAAATAAATGGTTGTCTCAGGAAAGCAGAGGAAACCCTGTGCAGGGACAGTTACAATTAGGTTGATCAAAACAGTAGAAAACATAAAATATTAAATAAATTCTGCAAAGGTAGTGAGTGGGGCTGCTTGAGGTCACTCTCTCTGCTGTTTTTATTTTGTTTTCCCCTTTTTTGATTGTTGCTATTTTTTTTTTCTATCAGTACCCACAAAAGTCTCAGAGCTTTCCAAATAGGAAATAAGTTGCTTTTCATGTCGTGATAAATTATTTTTCGTAGTGAAGATGGAGTGATTGTAAGGGTAATGATATTAATGGGATTTATATGAAAGCATCCAATTAAAAAATCGAAACAGCTGCATCAAACATGACTCTACAATGTAATAAAATCATGTAATAAATATGTGGTCCCGCCACACCATATTACCTAGTTTGATTAATTGAACCTTACGTGTGCAAAGATAGTCATTATCAGACTTCTCAGCCATCAAGGAAGAACAGTCTCAATTATTTTCACAATGAAATAATCATTGCTTTTTTTGTGTCCTGCCATCTGGAAAGAGAAAACAGCAGCTGCCATGACTGAAATGCATGATCTTGCAGAACTGTACAAAGTTGATTGTGCTTGATGCTGGACTCTTCTGCAGCCTTAGCGTGGGCTGTAATTTATTTAGTTATATAAAAAACATGTTGATTTTCTCCTCTTTTGGAACCTTGCACTTTTTTCCCTTTCTTTTTCTTTTTTACTGGTTTTTTTTTTGTTTGTTTGTTTTTTTGGCGGGGGGTGGGGGTTGTTTGTTTGTTTGGGTTTTTTGTTTGGTTGGTTTTTTGGTTGGTTTTGTTGGTTGGTTGGTTTTATGTGTGTTGTTTTGTTGTTGTTGTGTTTTTTCTTGTTTTTTTTGGTTTTTTTTCCAAATAAAAGACCCTTCTCTCTGTGAAAGTCTCCCCAGTGCAGGGCTGTGGTTGGGAAATGGCAATTGGGAGCTTCCTGGTTTTGCTTCAACACTTCCTCATTTCCTCCCTTCCCCTGGCCGTGCGGTGGGAATGCTGCTGGGATGATTTGCTCCCTGGCACAGCCAGATGAGAGGCTGGGCTCTGGGGCTGTGTCCCCTTGCCATCAGCTCCGAGTGGCCCTGGATGTGTGTGAGCTGGAGCAGTTCACCTGTGCCCGCAGACCTCCTGTCTCCAGGAAATCATAGGCATCTCAATCTTTTTGTCAGGCTGTGATACGAGAATCCGCATCTGAATTTCAGTACGAAGAGAGAGAGGCTGATTAAGTGTTTGAGATAAGGTTACATGACACCACAGGTTAAAAATACCTGAACTGATTTTGGCCCAATGCCTGAAAACCACATTGTAGCATATTCAGGTGGCACTGAAAAAGCTTTGAGGAGTTTGTTGCTTTCTGCTTTATGCAAGTGCTTCTTCAGGAGTGGTCTTTTAGGAGCTGCATCTCTCTTGTTTTACAGCATTTCTTTGGACTTTGCTGTCTTGCTTTTCTTATCTAAAATGTTACCAATGTGTTGAGTTATAAGAAAAAATAAAGGTGTAACAAACCCTGTCAGTTTAGGAGAAAAAGGACAAATATTTCTGTTTGGCACAAATGTCTGAAGAAACAGATCCCCAAAATACTATGCAGCTTAATTCTAGTGTCCCTAAGCAATAAGAAGTGCAAGTTGAAATCCCTAACAAATACTTTGTCTTAACAAAATAAAAACAAAACAAAAACTCAACAAACAAAAACAAACACAAAACCTGTATAATTTACAATGTCCCAGTTATAAAAAAAATGCAGTGTGCTTCAGGTAAATCTAGAAAATAGATTTAAAGAAATTCAAGAATCTTCTGAGCTTTGTGACTCTCTATAATTTTAATGTTTTACCAGTTGTTTTTTATTCATGACTTATATTTTTATAAATATTCTTAGTGATGACAAGAAACTTTGGGTATGTGTCTAAATAATAAGAAAGGCCTGCCAAATAAAAGACTGAGACCAGGCAAGCTGGTCTGGCTTGTTTAAATTCTTCCCTGTGTTTAATACTATAAAAGCTGTAGATGGACACTGAAGGATTCAGGATACTGCACTGGATTTGTGGTATCACTGTTATGAACTTTATGTTTAAAGACTTCTCTTATTTCCTATGTAAATACCATACTGCAGGAGTCTTATGCAGAAATGTGACTTCCCTAATGCATTTGATTTACTTTAATTTCTTCGGTTGATTTCAGATGAAAACATGCCTGCTCATTTTTTCTAGTTCTCTGAAATGTGATGTTGAGTGTGTTAATCATGTGTGTTCTTGTTCTTTTACAGATGGGCTGAAGCCAGATACCAAGATGCTGCTGACTGCTGCCTCCAAGAAGAAATCTAAGGGAGGGAAGGGGGATATGACCAAAGAGGATGAAAGCAGCAAGAATGATTCAGCCCAACCTGTTACTATCTCTCTTATCTTTAAAAGATACGTTTTTGACACACAGAAGAAAATGATTCAGTCCTGAGGAAACAAGAGAGAGGCCTCTGATTACACCTTAAAGTCCAGACCCTGAAATGCATTGAGGTGGAATGTGTTTCTTGTTCAAACACATTAGACCTGTTCCTTCCTCACAAACAGAGCCTGGAAGCTTTTCCTGACTGTGCCCCCATCCAGAATCTCTGCAATCTCAGATTGTTCTGTTCAAATTTGCTTATTTTGTAATTTCTGTGATGTGCATCTTTATGGCATCTCAGAGAATCTCACCTGCCAGATGAGCAGCCCTGGGTGTACATTCTAATTGCACTGTTTTCCTGGATAATTGTGTTGAAGTTTCTCTTGATTTAGAAGTTTGCCACCAAGTCAGGATGTGAATTTCATGTGACCCACAAAGTGAAGCTGATTATTCTAGGCTTACTTCTTTGAGCAAAGTGGGAGACAGAAGGCGTACTATTTAATAGTTGAAAGCTAAAATGGATGTTTCACATTCCTTCAGTTGCAGCTATGTGAGATGCTATGTGAGAGATGGTATGGATGTTTTTTAGAAATACAGTTCATATCTAGAAATGTTTTCCATATTAAACATAATGATCTGTGTAGCTGAGAGTCTTAATTGTTCTGTTTGCTGTTCCAAAGGTTCAGAATTTATCTTCATTGACATTTTATGTAACTTTTTTGATTTTCCTGCCTGTTCTGCAATGAATCCTATTCCAAAACTGTTTTCTTTTTCTTTTTCCTTTTTTTGTTTTTTTTTGTAACCAAAATGCCTTTTGTGTGTGAAAGAAAAAGTTGCCTCTGGAAATAGTCAAGGGCTTTATTTCATTAAAATAATGATAGAAGATTGCTGCATAAGCCTTGTAAAATGAGTGTCTCCAAGATGCTTTAGAAACCATTAGTTTTTAATAGGGATTTCATGGCTGCTTTAGCTCTTTCTCTCAATTTCATGTCCTAGGCTCATAAAAAGGAGAGCACTGGTAATATCCCTTCCTTGTTGCATACAAAGTATAGGACACCTTAACATGAAAACTAACAGCAATTCCACAGGTATGAAAGCTGCAGTCTGGAACAGAAATTGGACTCAGGCTTGGCAGCATGGCAAATGTTGGTTCCTGCCTTTGGAACAAAAAGAGTACCTGCTTGTTGATGCTGAATAGCAGCCTGTGACCCCTTTGCTCAAGTCAGCTACAGATGGTGATCATATGTACAATGTAAGTGCATGTTGCACATGGAGGTAAATAATTGCTGCATTCATTCTTATTAATCATACTATTATATCCCTTGATGGGCATGAGTCCATCATGATAACATGATCCTGATTTTTTTCCAGTCTTACCCTTTTAATTTCTAGGTAGCCAAAGTGGCTACAAATGGCAAAGTTATCAGCTATTGAGAGGATATTTACAGCTGGACAATTGTGAGACAGAGCAAGCCTGGTGTCTAAACTAGGCTGATGGTCCCCCTTTAAATCAGAACAGAATTAGTGCTTTGTGTAATAATCCCAAACAGTTTCTGCTGAGTGAGTCCCAGCAAAGCTTTAGCACATCCCTTAAGATTATGGGGTATGCTTTCAGTGTGATCCCAGAGGAATTAGGCAGGCAACTTCAGCTATTGGCTTAACGTAACTTGTGCTGCCAGCCTTGCTGGAAAATGTATCCTTCTGTAATGGAAAAAATGCATTTCACACCCCTGTCACCTCTCCTTCCCCATTTCTCTCTTCTTCCCAAACACCCCCAAAAGCAGTCTTTGGAAAGAATATTTATAATGTCATCTTTCTTTTAAGCCTTTATCAAATCCCGTTTTGTACTCTGCACTGTTACCTCTGCCTAAGGTACTGCAGTGATGAACAGGTGACATCGAAGGAACAGTGTTACTATCATCCCACGTTAGTCTAAGAATTATGGGTATAAAAAAACTAATTAAATGCTCCTAGTTATTAAGGAACTTATACTTGCATCTGTATAGTTCTAGTGTCCTTGCCAAATTTTAAATGGGTTGCTAATTTGGAGTATTGGAAAGAAAAGGGGAGTGATCAGGAAAGGTGCTTCCAGAGTTGTTATCCTTGGACTTAAAGGATTTTGTCTTTTCTCATTTCTAAGATACTTTTGAGTAGTTCTGGAGAGGAGGTTGTCAATGTAAATGAGGGTATGTATTTTTGCAAAGCCTATCTGATGAATGTTTTCATCCCCAACACCGTGGATTGCCCTTAACAGGATCAGTGAGTCTGTTGTTATGGAACTTGATCCCTTTGAAAACTCATTAACCCTGAACACTTAGATCTGCAGTCCTCTTCTTGGCTGAAAGGACTGCTAGTGCAGGGAGTCCCATGGTTTATTTGCTTGGGTACTCCAAGGGAGTGAGCAGCAATAATTCCAGAGTTGGACCTACATCCCTTTCTCATCCAGTCTCTTGTAAACATATTTTTAAAATCTCCCTCCTATCTTCCATTTCATTTCCAGACTAGCATACTAGCTTGGCATTTTTCTTCCATCTTCTCAGTCTAAGACCTGATCTCTTCCTCAGTGCTCCCATTTCCTTCTTTGCTCATTGCTTCTCCCTGCTCTTGCCCTGGAGATCCATGGCAGGGCTCCCACAACAGTTGCTGGGAGCCCAGTGAGGTGGGGAAGGCTCTTGGCTTGCAGCTCATCCCAGCTCCTGTGTGCACTGAGGAGCTGCCTCTGTTCAGGCTTTGACCCTGAGCAGCTCTGATGGGCTCACAGGAGCCGGCAGTGCCTTCAGCTGCCCCCCTACCCTGCCCTTGTGCCTCGGAATCCTCTGCAGAAAGCCCCTGTCACAAAGCCTCGTCCTCTCCTTTTGCTCCTGCTGTATCTGTGTGGGATACACAGCTGGGGAGGGATCTGTTGAAGACTGGGGCTTGGTTTTGTGTTTCTCCCAATGTAGAATTCCAAAGGGAGAACCTAAATATGCCCAAGAAGTTTGATTATAATGTGCTATTACTGCAGATCTCTGGCTACTGTCCTGAGGCTGTTGGATACACATTCGAAAAAGGGTGAAATGGTGGAACAAAATGATTATGGGAAAATCAAAGCTTTAAAAGACATTTGTAGGATGAACAGATGTTCAAACATTCTTTTATTTGGTTTCCAGACAGACGTAGAGACTTTCCTTTCATCCTCATAATCAGTGCATTATGCTGTAATTTGTAAAAATGGCATTAAAAAAATATTAACAGGGTCATATTGTGATCTACTGACTCTGTGTCATTAAGCCGTGAAGTTAAGAACGGCAGCTGGGAGCAGGGGTTAAATGTTGCAGAATGTACTGTACTAGCATATATTGTCAGACTGTATTATAATGAATCCAAAATGGAATAAAGATGTAAGGAGTTTTTTTTAATACTCCTAAGGTTGTCAGTGTTGCAAAACTAGAAATTATTACGGCTGTGCAGATGTTTGGTGAGTAATACATCTTTGGGTCGTGGAGAGAGTAGCAGGGAGAAAAGCTTCATTTTTACAAGACTGTTTTCTACTTTTCCTTGGAATTTATTTTGGGACTGCAGTCTGGCTTGTGATCATGCCAGAGGTCTGGAGCCAGGAGGGTCAAAGCTGTGCTCATGGTAGCAAGGATGCAGTAGGTGGCATCCTTTGCTTGGAATCTAAGCTGAGCCTCCCCACCTAAAAAGGGGGTTTGCACTGGAACTGTGACTGAAGGGTTTGCAGCAGGCTTGCAACCCAGCTCTTAAAAAACAGCTTCTGTTAAAAACTACAATGCATTTAATGTCTGGGACAGAGCCATCAACTCCAGTCTGTTGACCAAAGCCTGAGGCACCAGTGTCCCTTCTGTGTATGTTTCTGGCTCAGCTGAAAATAGCTCTGTCTCTTAAATCCTGTATTAGTTGGTTGCAAGTAACTGACTGTGGAAAAGTGAACCATCTGCACCAGGGCAGCTCTTGATGTGTACAAGGCATCTGTTTCTGGCAATAGCACTTTCCTTGGCTGTTGGACTCTGTAGTTGAACAGCCAGGGGGTGGTAAAGCAAAATGAGAGCCCATCACAGCTCGTGGGGAGTTGCAGTGGTGAAGCCACAGTCCACGCCAGCACTGTTTGCCTCTCACTGCTGGGAGAGCAGCTCTGTGTTTACATCTGCAAAGTGCTCCGGGGTCTTGTGAGATGAGGGATGAAAGGCAGCAGAGGAACGCTACCTTCTTAGCAGTTTCAAAACCCCTTCATGCTTCCCTTTTAGTTTAATACCCACAGTGAGCTGGAAAGCTCTTCATTTACAAACACATGAGTTTTAAACAAACTTGTTGAGGATATAAATAGAATTATTTTAAGATAGAGCCTAGTTTTGGGAGCTAACCTGCCAAGCCTGCAGAAAAGGAAGAACTTTATGACTGCAATCTGTGGTAAGGCCAGTTTTGCTAGATGAGCATCCAGAAGGAATCCAGGGGCTTGGGGAGGCCGAGTTTAAGCAAGATCCTGGCAGTCTTCTGAGATGGTCCACAAATTCTCCTGCTGTTCTGTGCAAAAACAGGTTAAAAACATCAGTAGACAAACTGTAGACAATATACGAGGAAAAAGAGCACAGTGGATCTGCTTATTTCCCATTGTCAGCGCCAGAATGTGGAGTCTTGCTCACATCTCCTGCTGTGCGTGCTGTGCTAGTTGAAGTTCCAGTTGTTGGGTTTCCACTCCTCAGTAAGTGTTACAGTTTTTATTTTGTGTCTGGTACAAGTGCTTTTCCAAGATGGTGTAATCAGTCTGCAAGGCTTGGATCATCCATTTCCTCCTCAAGGACTGTTGCTTGTCAAAGGTGACTCCTCTAAGGGGCATCTAAGCCATACCTTTCTGATATGCATTTGTATATCAGAATTTTGTTTTTCTAGTAAAGGACAGGAGAGAGAATGTATCAAATTCTTATATTTTTTTTTATTTCATAGTCAGCTGTGAAAGGAACTCATTGAACAGAATCAGAAAATACTGCAAGATCTTTGGTAAATATCAACACTGCACTGCTTTACAAGGCACTTTCTTAAAAATGAGACTGTCTTTTTGACTATTGAGTCCTTGCCAGTCCTGCCTGTTCTAGTTCATATTTCTTAACCAAGAGGTAATTTGAGGTCTGGATCAAGTGCTGCTAAACTGACAACCCCAGCAGTGAATGAGGTGCCTGCTAACACCCTTGCACTGCCTTTTTGGCTAAACTGATCTGATTACTTTTGATCCTTTCAGAAAGCTGGGCTCTTCATTAGCTCTAGCATGTTCTGTTTAGATCAATTTCTTCTCCTTTGAGTGGGAGTCATGCAGTTTTCTTGTGTTTTGGTTGATCATTCTGAGATTTCTCAAGGGCCTCGTTCATGTCAATCAGAGAGACTCCATCCTTTTTGGACCACAAAATTGCTTTTATTAGGCTGTACGTGGCCCCATTCAGATGTGTAGGAGCCGATTCTTTTATACTATTTTCTGTGAAAACTGATATTTTAGTGCCTATAACTTGAGTCTGACAGTTAGGAGTGATCCATGCCCTCATGGTGAATTCATTCCCAAAACAGCATTCCATAAGGACAAGCTGAAACTTAGACCCCACACAGAAGTTTTTGCCTAAATGTCTTCGTTTTTGCTAAAGTAAGTGATCCATCATCTAGTTTTCTTTCTTAAGCCTCACTTCAACCAAAGCTGACTTGAACTCTGCACTCTCTGAGAACATAGTTTTGTTACCTGGAAAGATCAAGGTCTTTCAGAAGCTCTTCTAGACACTGTTAAGTTACTGA